GTGTACATGCTTTACGATAGAGGACAGACGCATAAAGCGAAAACCAAAGATCACTTAAGTACTCGAGCGTTGGGTATTTTGTTGAAAACGGTTCTCGATCGTACAATATGATTTAGTCTATGGGATAATGTTATATTACAGGGACAAAGGAAACACAAATCATTGTCCTCGGGTGCATAGAAATTCACGACTGTGTGCTCTCCGGAATAGATGTATTTATCCTGTGTAGGCCTATATTATGTGATTTTTTTCCAACGTGTATATTACGTGTTTTAACGTTCATTGTCCCATCCTCCAAAACAATCCTCCCTTCTACATTTTGCTTCTAATAATATTTTGTGTGGTGTGATACTGCATAATGTTGGATGGGTAAGATATTAAGATTTAGGCCTGAATTACATGTGAAAAAAATGAGTCCGTCTGTACCCTGCAGACAACGCATACAAACACAAACACTGATTTTAAAGCATTGCAAAGCACCAGACTGTTCCGTAGTTAAATATAATGTGTAATAGATTTGAAGATGCTAATGGTCACCAGGGCAAGAGAGTAGCTATTGGGAGTGTACTGGTTCATGGTTGACACCGTGGGGACAAGGTTGGGATTATTGAATATTCATAACATTCAAGACAATCGAGGGATTTCTATTGGCTACGAGGCAACACATGGGTGTGTTTGTATCTGCTAAAGATATGTTGATTGGCTCGGGGAACAGGAATGGTTTTATACGAAGCAGGTGTACACAGTAATGATACAGGTGCACTGATTGTAGTAAGTACAATAACCATGAAGGTAGTTGACATCATTTTCAAACATTCGAAAATTAAACTCTCAAAATATCATAAAATATTCTACTTGATTGCTCGTAAAAAGTAGCATCACACATTCTGTGAAATCATTGATCCTACTACGCTGTCATTTTCGCGAAAAGAGTAATTACCATCATTTTCCTCGCGCTGATTAGGATCAAACATTACGCTTTCAAGGGAAACCTATGCTTGGCGTCGATAAAAAAAAATATGCATTTCACAGTTTTCACAAGTACTGAGCTGAAATTTGGAAAGGTTACTTTTTTTTAATAACCATATGGTTCAGAATTATTGTATCATTCCTTGAATCGGCAAATCACAAATGGTGTTCATTACTGTTTAATACAGATTAGTAAAATTAAGACTCCGTCCAGAAAGGACTTTGAGCTTGCTGGAGAAGATTTGACGATAAAAAGGTTTGAATTCTCCTAACAAATCGGGGAGGTTCTGTTATTCTCCCTTCGAGCCTCTTGATGCACATCTTCGTCTTGTTCGTGGGTGCATCTAAAAGGCCTGATCACGTACAAGTACGACAGGGCAAGGACATCACAGTAAATGCGACATTGAGATGACAATCCTGGTAAAGACTGAACAAGCTTATTACATTATGAACACCCGTACCTACGCACGTTCTTCAGATGATTATCATCCTATTACTAATTTGGCCTGTGATTACTCAAAATGAGGTTAGTGGTTGCAGTATTTTGTTTTTAGTTTTAGAGAAAAGCAGGGCAGACCTTCGGTTTTCTAGCAGCCATTTCATCATTACGGTACTTTTTCAAGGCAAGCAATGGTAGCTCATTTCGACTTCGGGCCGTGCAGCTGGTGCACAGGGGTTCTCACTAATGAGGTCGCCGCAATGCAGTCGTGGCACCAAGTGCACGGTGCTATTTGTAGAACCGCAGACGGACAATAATTTCGCTGGATCAGATCGAACAACACGGTATCGAGAGGTAAGTCTAAACGCGGAGCAAAGTGAACTGAACGGGCAAAACACTTGGACATGACCATTATTGGATTTAAAAACAAAAACAACACCGAACTGACAACTGTATGTAGACATGCTACATGTATAGGCCTACATCCAGACAGACAATGTGGGCGCATGTTTCACAGATGACACACACCAGAGGATTCTTAGAACAGAATGCATTTCTAGTTAGACCACCGATGTTTATTCAAGGCAGCAGAGATACGGCTGTATCAACGCGTTTCTTTCATTTTGAGGTCGTTCAGGACAAGGTCGTGATAAATAGCCAGCGACAAAACCCCCAGAAAAGCATCTCACCGATTGAGCAAGGCGGGTGGAGGAGTATGTACAGACAGTGAATATGTATTAAATTCCGGAGCACGAGAAAATCAATACCCGGGGAGAGGATGGAGCTATAAACCAGCATCGCGTGAAACACTTCTCTCTTTGGATCGTTTGCAAGACTCTGGCTCCACGTACAGCGTGATCCAGGATGATGCATTTAATATGGAAAACTAACACTTCATCCAGATAGGATATGAAGCTTCACATAAGTGAAAATCAGCACTTCGAGTTAAAGGTAGAGTAGATCATTTGCAGCTATCCAAAAAGAAACTGTCGAAATTATTGTTGAAAAGCTTACCTGGTTTAAAGATAGTAACGGCACTAAACTCCCTGTGAAATTATTCCTTCTGGCATGCTGTCAATTTTATTTTATTTGGGGGGGGGGTGAAATAGGAAATAAAAGAAGGCGATTTCCAAAGATGCGTCAAGTAACGCATTTTTGGAAATTGCCGTTAGTAGTTGGTTTGTAATTCGGCGAATCCGTGAATGGGTGCGCGCAAGCGTTGACACGACGCACACGCGCGCACGTTGCTATAATTCGTCGGTTCAGTGCGTGACATGTGACATTGCGTAGTTGCAATCGGCTGAATGAAAACGTGTCCCGGATACTGATTTCGGGCGCAATTCAAAACATGACTTGGCACTTCTGAATTGAAATCGAGATCCTAGCATATTGGTTTCTCAGAATATACAGCATTCACTGAGCTAGAACTTCATGAGGTTAGTCGTTAAGCACCTGTCTTTAGATTTGGAGCACTCTTGTTGCTTCAAACGAAAACAAAATGCACAAATGACAAATATCTACCCTACCTTTAAACTAACAGCAAGACCTTCTCCTTCAAGTGTGTAACTTGTGTGGTTCTGCGATGGACCAGTAAAAAACTCATCTTGTCGGACAGTATGTTATCTGCCGGTTGTAATACAACTTATCGTCAGATGCAGACTGTGTACATGAGATACAATTTTGGTCGACCAAATGATTGTTTTTTAATTTGACAGCATGGAAAACGAAGCATCTCGAAAACGTAGACTTTCAGTGATGCGTGATGGGTTTGTGTGTTTCATGTACATATCTTCTCTAAGTTTTGGAGCTGCCCTGCAAGTTAAACGTAACAATGCAGTCGCGACCGAACGGAAGGTTTCACTACACGGCTTGGCATACTAATATTGTTGTGGGAACATTGATTTCATTTGCCAATTACCTGATGCAGGTTTCCACCTTTTTCTGGAAAAATTCTGTATGATTTTTTTTTTTTTTTTTTGGATTTTCTAATTATTGACGCTCTGTTAAAAAGCCTGTAATTGTTTTGTTTCCCCTAATTGTTCTCTACTAAACCTAATTGTTTATTTGTTGTTTGTTGTCCGTTTTTGACCAAAAAAATTCATATTTGGATTGTATAAATGTAACAATTTGTTGTTGTTGCATAATTATATTATACAAATCAGCACAATGTTCTTCTTTCGGACTGAACATATCTCGCATATAAAGAATGTATGCGGGATGTGCTATAGGCCTATATACGACTGTATCTACAATACGTAACTCAACATGATATTAATCACGTAGCCTATGTATTATTTTCTATCATCTCATATGTCTGGTATGAGTTTCCGTTTGCGAGCCACGGTCGTCCAGTTCGGTGCAGAGAAACAAACAAAGCCGCGCCATTTATTATTATGTCTTTCCATTTATAAAACTTACCGAAACTGTATTCCTTTTACGTGCTTTAGCAACGGACTCCACTTACGAGACCAATGGTGCATTATGGTTTCTCAGTTTTCTCAAAATGTATAATAGCAACTGAGGTGAAAGTTCAATAGATTAGTTGTTATGCAATCTACTTCAAGGTTTGGGCAATTTTGTTGCTTCAAACAAAAGAGTGAGTGATTTACTATGTACCTTTAAACACAAAGCATGCTTTCCCAGTAATGTCTGGCTGATTTTGGGTTGTTTGGTGCCTCGATTTGGCCAATTTTGATCCCTCGCCCTTTATATCCTGCTGTGGTATGGATCTTTATGCATATGAATCGCTGGTACGTACAATCGGTATGCTCTTTGTGCATTTATCAGCGGATACTAAACATGATAGAACACAGAGAAACATTGCACATTTTTTCCGGGTCTGGTAATTGGATTTCGTTGCTAACGCACGTAAAAAAAAATGTGCCCGCGGTTATATATTTTTTTAAATCACCTACCATGATTATTTTCTTCTGAATGATACGTAACCATTTCAGGTGGAGTTATTTCACAGGATATTTGTACCATCCGTATCTTCAATTCGAGCAAGGTTTATGTCATTAAATCGACAGGTCCGTTTCCACATTCCCAATGTTCCTACGTGCATTTTTGGAAGGATGCATTGCCTACAAATTAAGTTCAGTGGCCGTGCATGCAACAGTGCACGTAAACTCAATTCGATCTATACATTTTGTGCGTCGGAGCCCAGCCAAAACACGTGCGTCCATGTTCCATGATCGATCCTGGAAGACACGCTTGCTGGTTGATTAGAATTTTCGTGGGTGTGTGTGTGCCTAGATTCGCTGCTTTCATTGATTTCCATTGACTGTTATGTTTGGGCATTAAGAAGCCAATATCGTGCTTATTAAAAAAAAATTCCAAGGGGTTTAGGCTGATATCCAAGATGCTTAATATGAGTGAATCGGGAGTTCACACGGCATTTATGATTGGTATGACCATGACGGCTTTGGGTTGTTGTGTGTGAGTTTCGTGATTGGAGCACTGCCAAGTTATATGCACTTCTGCCTTTCTCTCGTGAATTAATGCCAAAGTTGTCTTCTACATTACGGTACATTAATTCCATTTTGATGTCTGTATCTTTGTTTCTTTCAGGCAATCCTTCGGGACGACTACCATGCCGGCTGATGTGTGCCCGAGGGCGCCTGAGCCACAGACCACGGGACGTAAACTTGTTACCGACTGACACTTGAGTGCTCCAACGGTCGAGAGTGAACCCGCCAGATAGAATTATACACCTAGCAGGTCTTTTCCGTAAGGACACCAACGTGTGATATGTTGTTTGGATCGCTTGCCCGGCATTAAGTGGCTCTCTCGGATGCGGCGTGCATTAATAAGACGGAGGAGTACAGATGGGATTACTGGAAAACACACGTCTAGGGTCCTTCCCATTTGCAAGTATGTCTTCAACAAGTCTGCATCCTGTCAATGCTACACCGTCGGCAGCGAGTCCGATCCAGACTGCGGACTCGGCCGCAATCACCATCTTCCAAATCACGTCTTTGATGGTGATACTGATCGCGGCTTTTCTCGGCAACGGGGTGATCTTCCTCGTGTTTGTCAGGAAGCCCTCGCTGCTCTCCGTCTCCAACCGATTCGTCCTCCATCTGGCGATATGTAACTTCCTCATGTGTGTGGTCGTCATGCCGCCCGTTCTGGTATCTGTCATCTCCACGGACTGGATGCTGAAGGAACAAAGCTGCATCGCCACTGGCTTCTTGAATGTGCTCCTCTTCGCGGCAATCATCTTGACTTTGGTCATGATCACAGTGGATCGGTACGTAGCTGTCATGTTACCATTACGCTACTACATTTACATGACCGCCAGGCGGGCCGCATTGATGATTCTACTGGTCTGGATCATGGCTCTCGCCCTGGCTCTCCCACCAGTTTTTGGTTGGAACTCCATCTCGTACCACCACCATCGCTTCATCTGCACGGCCGCAGTGCCAGATGGTAGTGGAACCCCCAACGATAGCTACGAGATATACCTGGTGGTAGGGGGCTTCGCGGTGCCTCTGATCTCTATTGCATCCATGTACGGTCGCATGTACCTAGCAGCCCGGGATCTCGTGGCTAGAGACCGGCACCGCTGGTTCCGAGTCCCGTCCTCCGAGGAAACCACCGGCTGCTCCAGCACCGACCCCGTCAAGAAACAGCGGGCATTCACCGGCGGCGGCATCAAGAAGATACTGCGAGTCCACATTGGGGATGAGTGGCGGACAGCTCAGACCACGCTCATGGTCATGCTGAGTTTTGTAGTGTCCTGGTTGCCATACTACGTGGTGGGTTTGGTTGAGGCAGCCTTGGACAGACACGTTAGTCCGTTCTGGGAGTGGATTCCCCTATGGCTAGCTTTATCCAGCAGCGCTTTCAACCCGTACGTCTACGTATTCAGGAGTGCATCTATGAGACATCATGCCTTCTCGTTGTTCGGACTCCGCCGGCACGCATCGATAAAAGACTCAAAGTTGTTCACAGAAGCATGATACTATTCCGAGCAAAGCAATAGACATGAGACCTAATGACGTAATTGCTTTGTTTATACATGCACTTTCCTATGGGAGAGAAGTCGGGACACCAGACAAAATAGGGACCATCTGCCACATAGGAAAGCTCACATGTAAACAAAGTGTGACTTCATTAGGTATCAGGCCTATTGACAGCTGTGATGTGGGATATGGCGTTTAGGGTGCTATGCGCCCCGAGGGGTATGGCATATCCCACATCACAGCAGTCAACACTTGTTTTGTTATATCGTGCCAATAAGTCAAGCGGATTAATGGCTGTAACATACTCTGAGAGAAATAAATTAAATCACTACGGTGTAACCTTTGGTAACTACAGGTTTTCCCAGCCCATGCCGGACATGAGACTGAGCCGCGGTTGCAGTTCCCATTCGCGACTGCGTGGGCAGGCCCGTATACACGCGCGCACAACGTGCGCAAGCATGCAGCGAGTACAACCTCGTCCCAGTGCTTACTTTATTTCCAACCTTTTTTCCAATAGTAAGCCCCGGATAGGAAACTTTCTTCCTGTATCCTGATTCGATACCGCAATTTGCTAGTATTGGATTTATATCGTGTAGTTGGTGTTGTTATTTCCAACATGCATTACGTGTTTTCACGATCGTCGTAATTATAACGTCCACGCCTTCTCAATAATACTCCTTTTCTTTTCAGTTTGCTCATATTAATATTAAATGTAATACTGCATTATTGGCTGGCCAGATTGTTACATATTAACCTTTAAAAGAATCGCGTTTTCATAACTCACAGCGCGACGAATTGATGTTGTTTTTACCCCAGACACCGCACACAAATACAAACGCTAATGTAACGCAAATGCAGGCACCAAACTATTCCTCATTTGCATACGTGTTCAAAAATATTGCACATGCAAAATTAATGATCTGTTACCAGGGTGAGAGAGCAGGTAGTGGTGGGCGCGCACTGCTCGACACCCTGGGGATGAGGTTGGCAGGGAGTATTATGTGAGGTTTATCTATATGGAACGCAGTTTAAATATGAGGTATAAATTATATGCAACGCAGTATTTCCGATTTTTTTTACAAACTGGATACGTGGTCGTTCTAGACCAATGAAATTAGAGCAGGCACGCGATATAACATTTGCCCTTTTAAGCTTGATAGTCACACTACGGAGGCCATGTTAGAGCCTGTGACGTGAAATAATAGAAGATGCATTATGTAAATGAATAATATTATTTAAAATGGAAACAAAATTGTTCCTCCGTTCTAGGGGAACCTAAAACCAAATATTTGTAAAGCGAGGTCAAGCAATGCTTGACGCTTTGCAAAATCGGTTGGTAATTTGAGGGTGCACGCTTACGGGTGTTTCAAAACGTTGATTCGGGATACATGATATGAAATAGCCATCCAGTGAATATAAGGCCCATTAAAAATGCTTTCAGATATGGGAAAATCACTACTGCCGTTAGCCTGTCGAATGAAATGAAGTATAAAGAATAAACCTTTATTTCTTATCTTAATCATAATTGCCCCGGGTCAAGTTCGACCGGGAATCCGAGTCATATTTGACATGATACTTTTCAGGGTCAAATGACTTATAGTTCCGTGTCAAAATTACAGTTATAGCTGACTCACGTTCCTGGTAATATTGACCTGAAAACATTTTGCCCGAGAAAAGTGTCATTTTGGTTCCAATCCGACCCGGGACATTTTAGAGTGTCAATGCAATAGTGGATTTGCGTGTCACGTACCGTAATATGAGTAGCATCGTCATTCAATACCGAAGTGAAGCTATATTGAGGAATATTGTTTCATCGGTTACACACCTATATATGTTCCGACACATTATGTTCAGACACACATATATGTTCCGACACCATGGTGTTTTAAAATGTATTTACAGATCGACGTAAAGTTTTGTTATGTAGAGCCTACCGTAAAGTATAGCCTGATATGATGATTCATACAAGTTTTCCGACTAATGATCTGCTCTCTAAATTCTAAAGAGTGAATTTTTACTCCATTCAAGATTCACTCCCACAGTCGGAAACTAGGGACTAGACGTTTTAGAGTGAAACTTCTTCAATCGTAAAGATCGAGGTTTCACTCGAGCTTAGACTGAAGCGGTTCATTTTTCAGACTATGTCAATCGAAAATGAGAGTGATTTTCACTCTAACGTCTAGTCCCTAATTTCACTCTTTGGAATTTAGAGAGTGCTTCCCCCGGACTCAAAAATATTTATGTAATATAAAGCACCTTTATATTGGTAACATTGCAGAGAATATGCATGTATACCAGTGTGTATATACATTCGGGGTTCGTCAACCTCGTATAAGAACATATCCTAATTTAATCTAAACAATATTCCGCTGTGATGTATACGGCTTATCCTGTTTCAACGTATTCAAACGTTACACATGCCGTCTTTTTATTGTCCATACCGTTCAACGATACGATTATTTTTACCCCAGCGAATTTTCAACTTGTGTGTTTCATTTTGAGAGGAAAGTCCTGTTTGTACTTATGGCCCACTTGGGAAAAATGCTTGCTTTTGTACGGAAGTAGAATGGTTCCGGGTCGCCGTATCGGTTTATGAAACCAAGGATTCCTAACAAAAAAAAAAAAAAATCCCTAGGCACTGAAGCTCGCAAGCCTGATGAAACATGTAGAGATGAGACAGTCAGAGGGATCCAGGCGTCCAAAATCAGAATAAAATAACGTTTTTCCGTAAAAGGGAAAATACAACATTTGCAAACATAAAAAAATAAAACTACCAAGTTTTTACGAAATACCTCACTAGGATGTTGGTAAATGACAGTCTAAAGCATCCTGTAAAATCAGGGCAACTGGTGTGAAGTCATTTTCAAGAAAATGGTATTTTTGTATACATTTCCAACGGTGGTCGGCCGACCACCGTTGGAAAAACCTAACTGTTTTTCAACTACTGCTCCAAATTTACCATTTTTTCAGTCCAAATAGTGTTTGCTATTGGTTATATGTTCATGAACGGGTGCAGGCCGGCTAGACTGTTTCCATTACCTTACAATTTTCCGGCATCTATAAATTGAGCCATTTCATCTTTAGAGGAGTCAGGGATCCAGACTACTTGAACAGTTTTGTTTTATCTTGATTTTTCCAGCATTTTCGAACACAAAACTTCAAACATGTCAGTGTAACAATACATGATATATTATACTAACCCCCACAATAGTTCATTTCTGAAAATTATAGCAAAAGCCAATGATGCACACTCCCTTATTAAAACAAAACATCAAAATTGAAAATTAGTTAGGACAACCCACTTTTTGAAGGTTCTACAGTGATCACAAACAATGTCATGCACTCCTCACGAAAAATCCGTACTTACAACACTTTACAATCTTCTTGTAATTCGCAATGCGTACGAGTGTGCGTCAGGCTTATCGACCGAGTAGAACTTAACACCCATCCTATACGCGGCTATAGGTTCGCTCTTCTGCTCCTATCTGTTAATCAATATAGCTCTTATTTCGAGGGTTCTATTGCAGGGGAAACATTAAATTTCCCCGACGTATGTCGGCTAAGCCTTGTAAAACTTCAGTTCTACCGAGTGAATATAGATTGGCCCCCCTTTTGTATTGACATTATTGTTTCAATCAAATAATGTGTGTGTTTTTAATAGCAGTATAGACGAATCCTCGTACATGTCATCACGCGAGGCCCCCTTCAATGGATGTTACCAGTTATTGGGCAGAGCTATACTGCCCCATGACGGATTATCTGAACAATGCGCCATTAACGGGGGCCTTCGTGAGAGATGTGATAGCGTATATCCGGATTGGTCTATACTATAGTATCGCAGATTTGTCATTTGAAAAAAATACCTGAATAACAAGCAATGGCAGCCATTTCGAAAATTTTGAAAATCGCTTGTTATTCTCCTTTTATATTATAGGACAAATCTGCGATGGCCCTATAGCCAAATATATTTCTTCAGAAATACTCTGATTATATGTGACAAATTTCATGCTTGCATCAATAACGCACAATCAACCACATACATGTTCACGTTACATACCTAGTGTGAACATTCCTTTGTTTTCGTGTAGTTAAGAAAAACCTGTGAACAAAATCATTGTACTCACACTGTAAAAACTCTTTCAACCCATTTCTTTCTATGATTCCCTTGAGTGTTCAGTCTCATCATTTTACGACCGATAAACCTAACCAAAAAAAAAACTAACACAAAAATGCCTCTAAACCTGTTTTCCAGAGAGGGGGAACACTGTGTGGACGTGGGCAAGTCCACACAATGTATCTGAAAACTGGTTTATGTGGACATCTTTTCTTCGGAAGTCCACACAGTGAATGTAATGCTTGTACAATCATTTCCCTAGTATCTGCCCACTATACGTTCTTCGTGTTATAATCTGCTGTGTGGTGTATAATTCCCTTAAATAGTCTTACGGTTTAAACACTGACACAACGAAAGAAAAAAAAGAGAATTTTCTTCACTAGTATCTTCTGAAATGAAGTAGATAATTATATCAACCTAGTTATTCTTTGACGACAAAGAAGTCACTCTACATAATACGCGCGAATAGGTATTCAATGCTGAATGTTGACATTTTGTAAAATGTTTATAATAGTGTTATATCCTCAAATGTTGTCTGTAATTGAACAGATATATAGTTAATTGTGCACTCGCCAATCATATTTTCATCAAAATGAAAATGTCTATTTTGGTAAGACTGATCACTTTTCCTTTCAAAGTAAAACTGATAAACAGGAGGATTCATATTATTTATTCAAAATGTTGCAAGTTAATTTGCAGGCCTACTTAAGTTGTATCTTAATTCCAGCAAAGGTCTTGTAATAATTTCGTTTCAAATTAACACTGGATAATCGAAATGGGCAAAAAAGTGATGAACTTTTATTTCTTGTAGTTAAACAAATTGCCCTCGTGTTGATTTTTTTACACATCGTACTATTTTAATCTATCAATTTCAACTTTTCTTCGTGTCGTTTTGGTTGCATGCGTAAAGCGGTGTTGAGTTTTGATTTTTCTTTTGTAATTCTTTGGGTATTCTGTTCGAAAGATTAGCTTAAACGATTTGATTAAACGATATTTTAAAAAAAAATATGTGTCTTTCAATTTGATATTTATTGTGTTTTTTTTTTTTTTTACTTTATTACGTATTTTGAATTGTATTAATCACCATTTCTATTAATTAACGTATTGTTTTGTTATAGTATTATTTATAAATTTAAGGACTTTTTAGTATTTTATTTTAAATATTTTGTAAACGCATTTAAACACATTTCATGGAATTTGCACGATATATAATTGAATAAAGTATTTATTATATATTTATTATTATTATAGTAGCAGTCGATATATTTGTGACTCATTGGA